TCTCTCTCTCTCTCTCTCTCTCTCTCTCTCTCTCTCTCTCTCTCTCTTTTCTTTTTTCTGTCTTTAGATTCTCATTGGCCTGAAACTCACCAATCCAGTTAAACTGACTGGCTATCAAGCCCCGGGGATTTTTGTCCCCACCTCCCCAGTGCTTGAAGGACACACCTGTGTCACCGCCCCTGGCTTTTTATGGGTGCTAGAGGCTGGATTCAAGTCTTCACTATTGTGGAGCAAGCACTTTCCCAACTGAGCCCCAACCCTATTCTTGGTTTTCTTGGGGTGGCAGCTTGCTTGTTTGTTTTGAGACAAGATCTCATTCAGCCCAGGCTGCTCTCAAACTCACTACATAGCCGGGCAGGGGTGATTCACGGCTTTGATCCCAGTACTCAGAAGGCAGAGGCAGGTGGCTCTCTGAGTTTGAAGTCAGCCTGGTCTACAGAGCAAGTTCCAGGATAGCCAGGACTACACAGAGAAACCCTGTCTTGGGGGAAAAAAAAATCAAGCTCACTATGTAGCTGAGCCTGGCCTTGAACTCCCGATGCTCTTGCCTCCACCCCACAAATACTTGACTGTAGGCACACACCACAACAGGTCCTTGTTCTGGTTAATTCTCTTCCAACACCACAGTCCCTCTGCCTCCCTCCTGCTGGTCCCTTCCCTCCCCCAACAGACCCTTTCTAGTTTCATGCCACACACATTCTATCTCCTCTTCCCTTTAAAGGCCTTTTTCTCTGGGCCTGGAGAAATGACTCGGTGGTTAAGAACACTGACTGTTCTTCCAGAGGATCGGGTGCTGTCACCAGTCCCAACAGCAGCTCTCAACCTCCTGCCAGTTCAGTTCCAGAGTATCTCTTGTCCTCTTCTGGCCTCTGCGGGCAGCAGGCACAGATATGCATGCAAGTAAAATCCCCATACACATAAAATAAAATAATAATAATATTTTTCTCTTCTTACATCTTTATGTTTCTTGATGAATTAAACCCAGAATTAAAAAAGCAAAACTAAGGTAGCTAGAGAGACAGCTCAGTGGTTGAAAGCCCTGACTGTCCTTCCAGAGAACTGGGGTCAATTCCCAGCACCCAAATGGCAGCTCACAACTGTCTGTAACTCCAGTTTCAGGGGATCTGGCACCCTCACACAGACAGACATGCAGGCAAAACACCAATGCCCATAAAAATAAATGAATCTAATAAAAGAAGGCAAAACCATGGGGCTTGTAGCTAACATCTGTACTCTGTAAAGTCACAATGAAAAGAAGTAATTCTAAATCCTAAATAATGTTGTGCTTTGCTGCGAACTCCCAGTGCTACCATGAGACATCCACTGGTACACAAATCCTCACTGAATATATTCTGAACTT